ATTTATTAGAGAGAGAAGGAGAGAGAGAGAGCACAAGCAGGAGGGAGAAGGAGAAGCAGGCTCCCCGCTGAGCAGGAAGCCCGACGTGGGGCTCGATCCCAGGACCTGGGGTCATGACGTGAGCCAAAGGCGGACTCTTTTAGCTTATTATTACATTGAAGATTAATTCATTCCAATTGAAGATAACGTAGAAGCTCCTCAATTACACAGAATCGTGAAAAATGGCAAGTTCTTTCACATTTGCCTCAAGTTCCAACAGATAATATATTCTGTGCAAATCTATGGGAGAATGAGATCTCACTTCTTGCTTTAACTTTTGACGAATTGGCAAATGTGACTAGCAGCTAGAGATGGAAATGCCCACTTCCCTGTCTTCCCCTTAAAGTACTTTCCACACTTCAGAACCTGGTGTCTGAGAGTCAGTGCACCTTTGCATTACAAACGCAGCCATAGTCAATACTTCAGTGAAAGATTATAACCGTATCTACCTATAAGGCAGTGAATTTGAATTTCATCTACTTTTCCTTGTGTCACGTAAAATTTATCTGCTTTTGATTTTTCTCAACCATTTAAATGAAAAAGCAGTTCTTAGCGTACAAGTCCCTCAAAAGCAGGCAGTGGGCCTGATGGAGCCCATGAGCCAAAGTTTGCCGAATTCTAGCCAGGCGGACACAATTCACAGCCTCCACTATGGGTCAGGCAGGAATTATGACATCATCTACCAGTCAGAGATGCAGGACAAGCACAATACTGGTCTGGCTTCATAGCTGATATGCTGTATGTAATTCTCCAGCTAGAATTCAGATGCCCTACTTCTAAATGTAGAGTTTCCTGCCTCTGTGATAGCACCATGAAATGCCTTTTCTTGTTTTAAAGACAGTTTGAAGGCTAACGGACTTCCTTCTGTCCTGTAGTGAATATTCTATCAGAAGAGGAAGACACAGTGCTTTGAGGATGATGTCTGTCCAATTTCACAGGGTCACCAAGAGAATTAATGTCCATGTACTAATTAACCATATGGATGCACAATCCTACTCACAAAACTCTATTCACATGGTTTGGCAAACGAATAGGTAGCTGCCTTTCAGCCCTACTAATTCCCTTCAGCTGGGCACATCTGTGCAGTGCACAAACTGTGCTACAGAGCACTCCTGAGTCCCCAGCCTTTGCTTCTTAACAGATATCTCCTGATTTCATCCCTCTTGCTCAGAGCCCTCAAATATGAACTCTGATCATGACCTCCATTGAAGAATAGCTTCAAACAAAAAGGGGGGGGGGAGAAATATGATATGTCCTTGTCACGACAAAGACCATATTCAGTTTTTCTACATGAATCTATAAAGAAGTGACATGCCAACAAGAACAGAGCAATGAGAACAGTAATGCCCTGATGCCACTAAGAAAAACACAGCTATTATGCGTTTATTAACAGGAGGGTGCTACCAACAGTAGTCATAGACGCATCTGTCCTGTTGGATGAAAAAGAGTAAAGGAGACCTCACTTAAGCTGGGAAGCTCTCACACACATACCATTCCATGATTAGAGCCTGCATAACCAACGGGAAGAAGGATTGTAAGAATTATCTCGACAAGGGAGGACATTTTTCACATAGGAATTCACTTCCTGCTTTTAAGAAAAAGAAGGAAGATCTCTCCTTGCCCCAGCAACAACCACTGCTTGCAGCCAATGAGAAACCACCACAACCTCAAACTCTTGTCCTTCTCCAAGGAGAGTTTGTTCAAAACAATCCTCCCCAATCTCCTCCTAAAGCATAATAAAAGCTGACCTTCCTTTTGCCTCTTCAGACTCACCTGTGGTTTGCCATAGTTTGCTTTGTCCCGAATTGCAATTCTGCTTTTCTCAAATAAGCTCATTTTGCTAGTCAAATAAATGGCTATGGGGGTGCCTAGGTGGCTCAGTCTTTAAGTGTCTGCCTTCAGCTGGGATCGAGCCCCGCATTGGGCTCCCTGCTCAGTGGGAAGCCTGCTTCTCCCTCTCCCACTCCCCCTGCTATGTTCCCTCTCTCACTGTGTCTCTCTCTGTCAAATAAATAAAATCTTAAAAAAAAAAATAACTGGCTATGTTATGTTTAAGGTTGACAAGTGCACTAATAGAAATATTAATTCAGAATTAATGATAAAATTAAAAATTCCTGGCGGGCAGGGAGAGGCCTGGGGGGGGGGATCTTAAACAAGCTCCACAATCAGCGCAAAGCCTGATGCAGAGCTTGATCTCACAACCCTGAGATCATGACCTGAGCTGAAATCAAGATCTGACGCTTGACTTACTGAGCCACCCAGGCTACCCCATCATTGCTGATTTTTAATGTCAACATGTCAGTAAAGCAACCTTTCCAGTGCTCTGGTCAGGGATATGAATCTCCCATTGTATGACATCTATAAGGAGAGGGTCCTGATATAGTTCCTTGGTTCCTAAAACCCTGTACAATTCCTTATGTTTTCAGTATCATAGAAAGCGAAAAGAAAGACAAAATACTGTCTTTGATGGTGACACAATTTTGGTCATTCATTTTTTAAATTTTCTTAAACTGTTAGGAACAAGTTGATTTTAAAATTTTTGTGGAAGTTTAATGGGCAAATAAAAGTAAAGGTAAGATTTAAGAACAGGGGCACCTGGGTGGCTCAGTCGTTAAGCGTCTGCCTTCGGCTCAGGTCATGATCCCAGGGTCCTGGGATCGAGCCCCGCATCTGGCTCCCTGTTCGGCTGGGAGCCTGCTTCTCCCTCTCCCACTCCCCCTGCTTGTGTTCCCTCTCTCGCTGTGTCTCTCTCTGTCAAATAAATATATAAAATCTTAAAAAAAAAAAGATTTAAGAACAAAGTTGTAGAACTATAATAAGCCACAGATTGAGTGAAAATAATTATCTATTTTATTTATTTATTCATTTATGAAGTATAGTTAACATACAATATTAGTTTCAGGTTTATAACATAGTGATTGAACATGTATACACCTTATGCAATGCTCACCACGGTTAGTGTAGTTACCATCTGTCCTCACACAAAGTTATTAAATTTCATTGGCTATATGCTCTAGGCTGTACTTTACATCCCCATGACTTATTTATTTTAGAACTGGAAGTATCACCTATTCTTTGATACAGATTTGTTTCCCCTTAAGTGCATCATAGTATGAATAAAAATGTTTCTGTATTGTATACATTGGTTTTACAAATATGTTTGAATCCCACGAACTATTTCTTTTAGATTAGATCATATGGAGAATAATCTTTATATGATTTTTATAAAAAGTTAATTTTGATACAAAAATATGGAAGGGAATAAATAGGCCAATGTCACCTATAAACATAAATGCATAAATGTAAATAAAATATTAACATTTTCCTCCCCTGATATTATAAAAATATGATGACAAGATATAGTAAATTTCAAGAATATTAGGAGTTAACCAGAATGTAAAAATACTTCAGCATTAGGAAATTTATATGAATAAAACCATGGTTTTCTTTTTGTCTGATTTTAAATCACATGGAAATAGTTAATAGAGCATTGGCAATTGTGCAGGGAATTCTTGTGAAGGTTGAAGACAATATAGCCTCTGACTCGTGTAAAATGCACCTGCAGAACATAGGGCACTGGTGCTCTCAGCCACAGAGCAGCTGAGAGGGAGGACAGATTTCCATGGTGTTCTGAGGTCAGGAGGTTTATCTCCAAGTGCGGGTTGTGTGGTATGACAGGACTTCACCTGCAGAGCTGTGGCTGGACACCAGGGAGATGGACAGCCATCCTCTGAGCAACCGCATGGGAGCAACTGTGGGTCCCAAGAGGCTGCCAGTGGGAGAGGGGACATATGAGGTTCTGTGGATCTTGACTTAAGAAAAAATAGGACAAACTGACCCATCTCCCTCCAAAGAATTCCACAGGTTTACAATGTAAAGCTCAAATAAAAAAATCACAAGGTACTCGGGATTGAAAGTGATTTACAATAAGCCGCTTCCCACCTGGGCAACATTACAGACGTCTTCTGAGAAAAGCAGCTCTGGGGCACTGTATGTTTAACCAGGGATGACGATCCTTGGAGCTCCAGTGAGCGCAGATGATTTACCAATGTAATCGTAATGTAATGGATTCATCATAAAACCTTTCAATTTCATGGGTAGATGATACAAAGATATGTAACAAATTTTTACACACATTTCTAATTTTCAAGTAAGAAACAGTTAATATACTAGGAACGGAGCCAGAATCTAGGGTCACCAGATACCTTTTCACCCAGACTTAGGGTCACTTATGAAAATAAAAAGGTAATGGTATTAATGATAACACTGGATCTGTATCAGCCAAAAAAAAGACCTAGTTACCCTCAGATATGATGACACAATGAAACTTAGAGAAGTGAGAAAAAGTTAATATATAAAATACAAAATCTCCAAAGTACGGAATGTACTCGCCACGGAAATAGACTCCAATAAACAGGGCGCTTTCACCGCACACCGCACAGCATGCAGGAGGCTGGGTGGGGGGCTTGCTCCAAAGGCCTAAGCTCTTTCCCCTCTTCTCCCCCAGGGCTCACGGCATCTATTCTAGGTAACGTATGAAGCTGGCCTTATACGCATCTCTAGGGCATGATGTCTCAGGTAACCCACAGTAAAAAGTGTGTATTCATATGAAAGGTTAGGTCTTAAAGAGTCATCTTCTTTTCTTTCCTCATTCTTAGAAGGAAGACCCCCTGTTCTAATCACAAAGTCTTAGACTCTGAGGACAAACAAGGACCACAAAATACAGAGATGGGTTTTTTTCTGACAAACACCTGACAGAAGCTCCTCTGGGACTGGACGTGAATCCTGGGTTTGTGTGATTCCCCAGGAGGCACTGGTTCTGCAGCTGCAGCCAGACCTGCCCAACCCCTCCGTGATTTGCGTTTCCCCCAGAGCCCATTTCTGCTCTTCAGAATCCTCATGAATAGGCTGCTCAGACATCTGGGGCAAACAAGAGCCTCAGGCAGGGCCTTGGATGGAACATGGGTGTCCTGACCCAGCTCCTCTGCCTTCTGCTGGCCTGCCTCCCAGGTGAGGAGGGGAGTGCAGGGGACATCCCCGAGATGGGGTCGTGGGGGTCCTCTCCTCCTGACTGTGGGATCGCCCCAGGGCTCTGTGGATCCCTGACCCGGGGTCTCCCCTCCCCTCGGAGGCCCAGGTGCTCTCAGGTTAGGGGATCAGGGCCGCCAGAATCTTCTGGGAGGAAAGTGGAGTGGGACCTGGTAGACAATGGTGACTTTGTGTTTTGCTTCCTTCCCAGCCGCTAGCGGGAACGCTGGGCTGACCCAGTCTCCGGCCTTCCTCTCTGTGTCCCTGAGAGAGAGCGTGTCCATCACCTGCAGGGCCAACGAGAGCATCAGCGATTACTTGAGCTGGTGTCAGCAGAAACCAGGCCAGGCTCCTAAGCTTCTCATCTATGATGCTGATAACCTAATGTCTGGGGTCCCAGACCGGTTCTCTGCCATTCAGTCTCACAGAATTCATCCTCAAAATCAGCACAGCAGAGGCTGCGGATGCTGCCAGTTATTACTGCCAGCAGGATTATACAGTTCCTCCCACGGTGCCACAGCCCTGAGCATAAACTGTCCCCCGGGCTGTGGGGGGTGGGGAGGGGTGCGGCGGGCGTTCCAGCACCTGCGCTCTGCTCTGTGGTCTGTTCATCGCGGCAGGGGCTGCTTTGGGGAAGGGCTTGCAGGGCTCAAGGGTTATGACCTGCAAGGGACTTTGTCCTTCGAAAGCTTCCTTTCCTGATGACACAAATCCCAAACTTCAGTAATTCTAAAAATGAAATTTCTCGTGCAGGCCTGCAAAGGAATTCATCCATGGGATGGACTTTGAATCCTATCTCTGATAAACACTCTATGAAGTAGGCAAAGAAAGGGAACCCACATCCAAGGAAATACTACTACTACTACTACTAACATGGCTACAACTAATACCAGTATTGCAAACAGGAGTACTACTAACACTAGTACTAATACTGGGGTACTAGTACTATAATATTACTACTACTAATAAAAATAATAAACATCAGCAACTACACTGCCAACTGCCATTGAGTGAAATCTTGAGGACTTCCTATTACTGAATACTGTATGAAGGACTTACTCATCTAGTGCAATTCATCTTACCATAATCCTCTAGAGATGAGAAATCAGAGGTTCTCAGAGTTTACGTTACTCCACATGCCAGTGGTTGTAAAGGAAGAAGATGGAAAAAGAATCTGTTATTTTGACTCCATAATTTCTACTCATTATTTAACTACATACATTAAAGAAATTAGTACAACTAAAAACAGTGAAGTGCACTTACTGTACAGAAAGTTAATTGCAAGCGTATACTCAGATGAACACAAACATATACATCCTCCCTGTGGGGGGATGGAGACCCACTCCCCAGCCCGAGACTCCACCATTCTCCTTCCCTGTCAATTCCATGCCCATCCCCCCATACATACCACCAGAGACCACCACTCTTCTGTTTTCTATCCATACTGAGCTGATATTCTCTGTTCTTGAACTTCATATAAGTGGAATTGTACGGTAGGTACTTTTTTGATGTCTTGCTTCTTTTGAACAACATGTTCTTTGAACTTCATCTATATTGTTGGTGTGGCCATAATTCACTCTTTTCCTGCTGAATAGTTCACTATTACATAAATACATCACAATTATTTTTATCATTCGTAGGAATAGTATAGAAGTCTTGTGTTCATAATAGGAAAAGTGGGCAAGCCTCAGTGTATTGCAGGCATTCCTTAAGACAGTGTCCCTTTTATTTTTGGATCATCATTCACACATTACACAGCATGTGTCTAATAGGGAAAATATCCATGAAGCTATTCTTACCATGAATCCATACGACATACTTTTGTTTTCTATTTTACTATATTGTACTCTGTTTTAATCTATTATTCTAGCTTTTATCATTAAAACATATGATCATGGCACTAATTTCTTAGCCCATGAACAGATAAAATCCTTCATTTTATAAAATACTGCCCTAGGGGATATTTCTCAATGTGACATTTTATAGAGGCCCTAGACCAAAAAACCTGAAATTATGCTAGAGCAAGTCCCCCAAAGTGATGGAGGTAATTTTTCCTTACTGTGAGTCATGGGTCAAGTATTAAAGAACTAGAGAAAAGATTTAAAAGGCAATATAAGGATTATGTAAGAAAGAAGAACAGCCCTATGCTATTTGAACCTTTTTTGGGTAAGGTTTCCGATACTGGGTGGTGAAAAGAAACACAATGGGGGGCGCCTGGATGGCTCAGTCGGTTAAGCGGGGGCCTTCGGCTCAGGTCATGATCCCAGGGTCCCGGGATTGAGCCCCACATCAGGCTCCCTGTGCAGCGGGGAGCCTGCTTCTCTCTCTCCCTCTGCCTGCCGCTCTGCCCACTTGTGCTCTCTCTCCATCAAATAAATAAAAACCTTTAAAAAAGAGAGAGAGAGAAAAGAGAAAAAACACAATGAACAGGTTTGGTAGGCTTGATTGAACCCCTGAGCAATTAGTATAGATCATGACAAAATAATTCTATGTTTAGGAATTGTGAGTTAGTTGCTGAAAAACAGCCCTAGAACCTAATTTGGTTGTGGATGAGACATACTTGGATTAGTTTTAAGATTGTCTTCCACGCGTCTCTGTTACGTTCCTCGGTATACCCATGATGACCATGATTATGGGAGTACTGAATACAGTGATGATAATAATAAAATAAAAAAAGAAAATACATTATGTGTTTGATACAGAGCTAAATGTCTTACTTTGTTTAAACTGCAAACAGAACCATTATTGTCACGGTTTCAAAGACAGAGAAACTTAGACAAAGGGAAGTTAAGTGAACGGGATCAATATCACACATCCACAAGCAATGGAGCTTTGTCCCCAACCCAAATGGGGTGACTTCAGGGACTTCTCTGATAACATCAGGACCTTTGGATGGATAATGTCTGACTGTGGATAAAACTCTAATTCCTGAAGTGATGAAAATTCATTTGGAATTGGAGTTGGGAAAGCGAGAGTTGAATGGCTTCGGGAAAAAAGGATCAGAACTGGCAAATGTAACCCAAAGAGCTGCTCAGATTGCCCAGGGGAACAGCCTTGATCAATAGCACTACATGTGCACAATTCTGAGGAACACAAAAAACCCAGGTTGGAGTTCATTTAGAGCTAGAGTGTAGACATAGTTTTTCCAAATTGTTAGGAAGAGGGCCTGAGTCTGGCTTGGATGGGTGCCTTGTGCAGAATGAAGTGGTATAGAAGACAGAGGATCACCCAGGGGTGAGTTCCCTACCTGCATGGATGGCACCACCTCTGTCTTCAGGGAAATGGTGTCTGTGCTCTGAGGGTGAGAACCCAGGTCCTGTTCACCTGTGAAGTTGTGGTTGTCCCTCCACCCACCTGGCTGGGTCTACGTGTGGGTTGTTTTCCACTAATTCTTACGAAGAATGAGATGACTCAAGGACATTAGAGAATACTAAGCATCAAACGAAAGGTATATCTGGAAGATAAAGTTCTGATCAATTCTTCATTTCACCCAGATAACAACTGTGCATTAAGCGAGACATGCTGGGAGTAGAAGAGAGAAGTGGGACCCCGGCTTCTGTTTTCTTCTCAACGGGCTTGTGCCAAACACCATCTGGAGGAGTTTAAGTGATAGGTAAGGCAGAAGGACACAGGAGAGAAATTCTTCCCTCAAGCTGAGCCCACGGCACCTTCTGCCATGACCACCTGGAGATGGGTTGCTCAAGGCCAGAGAAGAGGAGGCGAATGGTCTCAGCAGCTGGAAGCCCAGATGCCCCTCTGCAGCCCACCCTGCTGTCCAGAGCCCATATCAATGCCTGGGTCAGTGTTCTGGGGGAAGATCTGCCTCAGTAAGGACACAGAGTGAACCATGGAAGCCCCAGATATTTCCAACACATATAATCATCAAATAGCTTCTAATAAGCCTAGAAAAATAACTAGTACAAGTAAGGGAAAAAAGAGCCACAATAAGCAATTACTTCTGCAAAGATGGTTAATAATTATATACACAGGGAGTAAATTTCATCAGTAATGAAGGAACTGCCGATTAAAATCTCACTGTGTTGTTGCTACATCGCAACCAGATGGGCTAATGTTGAACAAACTGCCAACAGTAAGTTGCGGTGAGCCTGAAGAGCTATTGGACATTTCACATGCTGCTGGCGAAAATGCGTATTGGCACATTCATGTCAGAAAGTTGTTTGTCATTATCTACAAATGATGAATATATGCACACCCTGGGACTCAGTACTTTTCTACTCTAAATATATCCAGCAGAATTGAGAGTATATGTGCTCAAAGAATGTCATCACAGCTCTGCTTATGACAACCCCAAACTGGAAACAACCAGTTACTGATCTAGAATGGAATGGATGCCTAAATTATGGTATTTGCAAATATCTTTCTCCCCTCTGTGCTTTATATGAGTGGTTTTGAAACCTGTGATAATTTTGGTGCAGCCCAAATTATCAATCTTTCATATGGGGTGCTCTTCATGTCTTATCTGAAAAGCCATTTCATACCTCAAATTGTTGAATATATTACTAATTATTTTTCTAAGCTTTATCACTGTACTTTAGTTCTATAATCCAGCTGGATTGGGTTCTTGGATATGATATAAAGTAGGGGATCAGATTTAATTTTTCTTTCAGTATGAATGCCCACTTGAACCATTATACTATATTAGAAAGAACATTCCTTTGTTAATTATCTTATGAGCCACACGTCACAAATTAAGTGTCCCAATAGATATTATCTGTTTGTGGACTATGTTTTATTCCTCTGGTCTCTCTGTATATCTTTGTGGCAATACTACAGTGTCCTAATTACTGTGTCTTTAAATAAGTCTTTTTTTAAAAGATTTTATTTATTTATTTGAGAGAGGGCGAGCATGAGCTGGGGGGAGAGGGCAGAGGGAGAGGGAGAAGCAGGCTCCCCACTGAGCAGGAAGCCAGAGGCGGGGCTCCATCCCAGGACCCTGGGATCATGACCTGAGCCAAAGGCAGACGCTTAACTGACTGAGACACCCAGGAGACCTGTGTATATTTAAATAAGCCTTAATAGTCAATAGACTATTCTCCCAACATTGTTCCTTTATAAAATTGTCTTGGTTCTTTTTACTTCTCAGAATTCCCTATACATTTTACAATGTGCTTTACAAAAAAAGTAACTGGGTTTTGATTGGGAGTACATTAAACCTAAAGATCAATTTGTTGAGATAGACATATTGAGTCCTCGGATGCATGAACGTGTAATATTTCGCCATTTATTTAGGTCTCCTTTACTTTCTCTTAGCAAAGTTTTATTATCTTTGGGTCTGTATGGTGCATGGCCCTGGCATGTAACAATGCATGTCCTCTCATGCGTACATTCAGCTTACAATTTATTTCTAATTACCAACATAATAAATCATCACTGAAAAATGTTTGCTCTATGTCTGTCTCCATTACTAAAATTCAGTTTTCCATTTGGACAGGAACCTTTCCAGCCTTGATAATTGCTGTGTCCTCGGGCCTTAGTAAAGTGGCTCCTTGTGAATATTAAGTGTTC